GCTGAACCTCAGGCATCTGCCAAGGGTCGAAGCAGGTTTTCCATGAGCAGGGATCAAGCCCTGTGCAGAAATCCTGCCACCAGCCCTGCTCCCTGCAAGCCCTCTGCACTGCTGTTCCCACGCAGTGGGGACTGTGTAATTATGAACCTTATCATTATGATCATCCAGTCAACGTTTCCTCATGTTAGCTAAAAAGGCAAAGGACCGTTTTTCAATGTCGGTTTACAGGTTTCCAAATAATTAAATTTTTTCCAGGCACAATTGCATCCACTGGGTGAGCAGAACCTGTGTCCTGCTTTGTTTCTAAGCAGGCCAGGCTAGTTTTGCGATTCTGGGTTCGGAAGAAGATGGATGTGACTGAGGAGGTGCCTCTTGCATTTTGTTCTAGGCATTGGTGGCTCCTGATAGCGTTCCCCAAGCACCCGGGACTCCTGGATGACATTAGTATCGTTTCCATAGCTAGTCAGCTGAAACGTTAATCACCACTTTATTTCACTTAAAGAACAGCAGAAGCTGTGTAAGTCCAGGGGCAATTTCAAGATCCGTTTCCTTTCCTGCAGGCCGTCTCGTGGCTGTGCTGCAGAAGGGGGCAGGGATGCGATTTTTTTTTTGGGCATATTTTTTAGCCACTGAAGGATCCCGAGTTTCACAATCGTGCGGAGTCAGTCCCTATATTTTTCTCGACAGCAGGCTGAACGCAGTAGAGCTACGCTAATACTGCAGAAAAAACTTCTGGGTAAATGCTCTCCCGCCGAACCTGTGCCTCTTTTACTGCTGCTTTTGAGCAGTTTTCTACCGCAGAGGGAGTTTCTGGGGCCACGACGGGCGGCCTGAGAGTAGCTCTGGTGAGCTGCTCTCGCGCTTTACTGTGGGACCAGAACGGCCCATGGCAAATATTTGGCAAATGATTTGAGGAATTAATAAGTTTGGGACAGTGGCCATCTGTTCGCGGGCGATTCCCAAGCAAGCGGTGAAATTAATTGGGCACAGTTAATGCCTTGCAAATGATTCATCCTGATGTTAAGCAAGGGCAGAGGTGGCGCGGGTTTTCCCAGGCTGCCTCGCCTTGGCCCCGTGCTCCAGAGCGGTTTGGACCCTGTTCCTGCGCCCATCCGTGCTGAGCTCTGCTGCTGACCTGGAGTTTGCAGGGATGCCCGCGGCGGCTGGCAGGACGGGGAGATGCTGCTCCCTCCCCGCTCCCGTGGGCGTCGCGCTGTCGCCTTCTCCCGCACAGGGAGCGGGGTGCTGGGCCCCAGCATCCTGGCTGCTTCCCTGCGTCCCGCCTGTCAGTCCCCAGCTGGTCTCTGAGGAGCCACCGCGGGGCAGAACAGCAAACTCCGTGCTCCCCTTTATCAAAAATTGTGTCTCAATAAACGAGCATGATCTCAGTGATAGAAGAGGCTGCTTTGTTATTCATCCATTCTTTCTTTTACCAGCGGAGATTGGGGACTACGACCCGGGCAAGCATCCGGAAGGCTACAGCTCCAAGTTCCAGTTTTTCCCTAAACATTCAGAAAAGCTGGAAAGGAAAATTGCAGAGATTCACAAAACAGAACTGAGGTAAAGTCAGCACTGCAGCGTAACATGTTGCTTTCTTTCAAGGGGATAGAAATATCGATTGATATTAGGGTTTTGATGCGCTGTTTTTATTTCTACTTAGGGTTTTCAGTCATGCTGTGGGATGAGTACTTTTATAGCTTTTGTATGTAAGATACAGCTGAAAGTCAGAAGTTCTCGTGGTAGCGTTGTTCGCGTGTAGTAAGAAAAATAGTCTTTAAAGAACGTCTTTAAAAAGGCAGATCATTTTGTTGTGTTTAGTTAGAGGCATTGCAACAAATCACCGATAAAGCATTCTGTGAGCCGTAAACAGCATATCCTGTCAAACCTCTGGTCGCTGAAAGAAAAGTGTATTCAAACTGCCAAGGAAAGCTACAGAAAGCCTACATAAATCAAAAAGATATGTAGGCAATCAGACAACAGCGAGCCTCCCCCGACCTGCTTACCACCCCTCGCTCCTTTGCTGCGTTCGGAGGCCGGGGTCTGACGCGGGGCAGTCGCTGAAGGAAGCGCTCAGCGCCGTCTCCGAGGCTCGCGGGCAGTGTGGTTGTCCAAACCCGCTTCTAATTTCTCCTCGCCCCGAACCTTTTGAGGAGGACCGAGGGGCTTGTTCTTGCTGAAGTCCCCCTTTCCTCCCCTTCTCGGGCCGCTCAGTTCAGGTGGACACAGCCCTTGACCAAGGCTTCTCCAACAGGACATGGACAGTAACCAGAATCCATCCTCAGTGAATATACTTTTACAGTCCTCCTGTAGATTTCTTTGTGTTCTGTTTGAGGATGGCAGGTATGCTCTAATAAGTGAGATACTGCCAGGATATCGCGGTGTGCCCACTGCGCGCCAGACCAGGCTGCTACTCCCCAAACCCATTCGTAACGGAGCGAGCGAGCCAGGCAAGGAGACCTGCCGGCGTGCCCACGGGAAGGGCTGGACGGGGCATCCCAAAAGGCCAAGACGTGAGCCTGAGCAGCGGCATCTTGGCAGCAGTCCTGCACTGCCCAAGGCCTGGGTGTAATTTGCTGCTTCTGGTCCTGGCAGATGGCCCATCTCCTTATATCTTTAACTCCTCAGAAACCCAGCAGAGCTGTTACGTGATGTGGTTGTGCTGCCGCCTTCCTGTAAAATTCCCCTCTCCTTCCTAGCTGAAGGAATGTTGGTAGATGCCTGTGTTGCATGTATTTAATTCGGCCCTAAATTTTGCAGATGCTCCTTGATTCTAGTGTTTTCTAGTGCTGCTAGCTTGGCATATCTCCTGCTAAATCAAGCTGGCAGGAAAGAAAAAAGGATGGGCTCTCAATGCTCGTTTCCTGCTTCAGATTGATTGCGCTAACTAACGTAACTGAAATATGCCATGACCGATGCCTCTTGTTGTTAATGGAAACCGTGAAGCTAATGACTGGCTTTAACCTTCATGTCTTTCATGGAATGCATTCTTTCTTTTTCCTTCTTTTTCTCTGCTAGTGGTCAGACACCAGCTACTTCGGAGTTAAATTTTCTACGGAAAGCCCAGACTCTGGAGACCTATGGAGTTGACCCACACCCTTGCAAGGTAAAACCATTTTCAGAAAGCTATTTTTTGTTAGATTTTTCACTTTAGCCAGTACCAAGTTGCACAGGTACCATTGATTGGTTCCAAGTGCAGCAATTTATCATCTGCCAGCAGGTTTTGGCATTGACAGAGCCGTACTACGTGGCATGTGCTTGGTGCAGCGCTGTGGATGCTGTCCTCTTCCACAGAGCCAGCAGTCCTTTGTCTAGACTGAAATAGCTTAAAATGCAAATATGTGCATTGCGGGAAGCAAGGAAAATAACTACTCTGAAATTCATCCGTAAGAGTATTTAAAGAAGCTATAGGAAAGTGTTTTCATATGCAGACAACTATAAAAGACGTTAGTCAATCTTCTTTTGCAAAAGCATGTAATTTGGAGGCAATAACAAGGTCAGTAATGTGTCTGAGAAACCAACAAGTATTAATCTCCACAGACAGTCTAACTGTATATTCTTCCCTGGCCAGTAATCTAGTTTTCTGTTTGAAATGCTCTTTATTGACTGCATATGTCATTGCATTTGGCTCTGTGTGGTCCCTTATAATCCCGTCACATGCAGATGGATGTGGGATGCAAAGCAGACAGAGAATTTTACTCTAAAGGAAGTGTCTATTCTGTGGTCATCCAGGGTTTTAAAGGGAATTATGCAGCATAAATACACAAACACAGTAAATATATCCGGCCTGAGGAGGGGAGACCTCTCCCATTTACTGATGTTCTGTGATTTATGAAGTGGTTGCATTTACTGCCCAGAAAAGCCAGGGCAGAGGCGGAAGGGCTGCACTGCCCTGCCAGTTCAGTTTTCCTGGACTGCCTGTCGGACTGGGCTGTGCCGACCTAGGAGCCGTGCTGGGCTCTAGCTCAGCGGTAATCCTCCTTCCCCGGGTGGTCAGTACTTCTCCTTGATTTTCCTGCAGGACCTTGCCCTCTGTAGGGCTCCTTGGCCGGTAGCTCACCTGGCAGGAGGAAACGGCGTTTCCTGCCCCACGCGGCGGCTGTGGGCACGGGGACGGGAGAGAGCAGGGAGCCGGGCTGGCCATGGCGAGGGGCGCTGTGCCTTGCCGCGTTCCCGGTCCGCGGGGTCCCTCCCCGCCTGCTCCCCCGAGCCCTCGCCCCAGGCACCCTGCTCCCGCGCTCCCCGTCCACCC